ATATAAATAGATATATATATATAAGTGGATTGAAAAAAGTAAAAAGATAGATAAATGTGAACAGAATGAGATAGATAGATAGATAGATAGATAGATAGATAGATAGAAATGAAACAGCTATCATAGATAGATAGATAGATAGATAGATAAGTAAAAACAAAGAAAGAAATAAAACAGTTAAGATAGATAGATAGATAGATATGAATAGACTGGGCTAGATAGACAGATAGATATGAACAGACGAAGATAGATAGATAGATATGAAACAGCTATCATAGTGTTGTGGTAGGATCCACCTAATTTGCATAGTGGAGTACCGACCATATAAATATGGTTGGTACCGGGAAGAGAAGGGGAGGAATAAAGAGACTCAATCCAGAGACTCTGCCCGACTGCGACTAAGTCAACACATTCTCCAGGAACGGTCTTCCTAGGAATATACAAAAGACTATATGTAAATATTGTGTACACTTTCTTGTTTCAATACATTTTGTTCTAAGTACATTTTGTGTTGCATTATTATTCCATGCATTAGTCAAGTTTCAACACATAGATAGATAGATAGATAGATAGATAGATAGATAGAAATGAAACAGCTATCATAGATAGATGTGAATAGACAGATAGATAAGTAAAAACAAAGAAAGAAATGAAACAATTAAGATAGATAGATATGAATAGACTGAGCTAGATAGACAGATAAATAGATATGAACAGACGAAGATAGATAGATAGATAGATAGATAGATAGATAGATAGATAGATTGTTGAATACAATACGTAATATTTTGTTGATTTCTTCATGTAATCTCTGTTCTTCTTGGAAAAGGGAATGAATGTTTGGTTCAAGACTGTGAAGGAATTGTCCATCCTTCCCATGGTCGCTTCTAATGCTTTGGCACTTTTCGTTTCTGAGAATGACCAAAGAATAGTTGAAAGCACTAGAAATGATAAGAACTCCGTGAGATTCTTGAAGAGTCTTGAACCAATCCTTTTAAAAAACAAGAGTAACTGTATAAAAAAGTTAATCAAATATTCTTTGACGGTCGTATTTAATAATACTTGTCTAAATGAAAAATTGCTGCCGACATATATGTGTGGGGGGGAGGGAAGAGATCCTTTCATGTCTTCTTCTACATCTTCTTCTATCAGAGAATCATTATAACCTATTTATGACGACCGAGTTCTCTCTTTGCACCTATTCTTAGTTTTTGGCTTTCATTCCACCTCTTACTCCTCATCTGATCCGCGTTCCTTTGTTCGCATCTTACGATTTCGTTTTCTCCCTTTTCTCTGTCTCTTGAAAACTCACCTTCCTCTATTTTTTTCTATGCTTTCATTTTCCGATGCGTTACTTCTTCTTCTTCTTCTTCTTCTTCTTCTTCTTCTTCTTCTTCTTCTTCTCATCCTCCTCGTCTTTCTTATTTTTCATCTTATCCTCCTTTTTATTTTTCTTCTACTTCTCCTCCTCCTCCTCCTCCTCCTTTTTCTTCTTCTTTTTTCTTCTTCTTCTCCTCCTCCTCCTCCTTTTTCTTCTTCTCTTTCTCCTTCTTCTTTTTCTTCTCCTCCTTTTTTCTTCTCCCCTCCCTGCTCCTCCTTTCTTCTTCTCCTTATCCTCCTCCTCCTTTTCTTCACCTTTTTTTCTTCTTCTCCTCTTCTTCCTTCTTCTTCTTCTCCTCCTCCTCTTTCGTCTTCTTCTCCTCCTCCTTCTTCTTCTTCTTCTCTTTTCTCCTTCTTTTCTTTTTCTTCTCTTCCTCCTTCTCCTCCTTTCTTCTTCTCCTTCTCCCTCCTCCTCCTCCTTTTTCTTCTTCTCCTCCTCTTCCTTCTCCTCCTCCTCCTCCTTTTTCTTCTTCTCTTTCTCCTTCTTCTTTTTCTTCTCCTCCTTTTTTCTTCTCCCCCTCCTGCTCCTCCTTTCTTCTTCTCCTTATCCTCCTCCTCCTTTTTCTTCACCTTTTTTTCTTCTTCTCCTCTTCTTCCTTCTTCTTCTTCTCCTCCTCCTCTTTCGTCTTCTTCTCCTCCTCCTTCTTCTTCTTCTTCTCTTTCTCCTTCTTTTTCTTTTTTCTTCTCTTCCTCCTTCTCCTCCTTTCTTCTTCTCCTTCTCCTCCTCCTCCTCCTTTTTTCTTCTTCTCCTCCTCTTCCTTCTCCTCCTCCTCCTCCTTCTCTTTCTTCTTCTTTTTCTTCCTTATTATTGTTATTTCCTCCTACCTCTTCCCGTCTCATCTTTCTGTCTCTCCCTTTTGTATTGCACTCTTTTTATCTCTCATTCCTCATCATTTTTCTACTTTTCCTTTTCCCTATTTCTCCTCACTTTTTATTACTCACTCTGTCACCCTCTCTTCTTCACTCTATCTATCTATCTATCTATCTATCTATCTATCTATCTATCACACACACACACACACACACACACACACACACACACACACACTCCTCACTATCTCTCTTTCTCTCTTTCCCTCTCTTTTTCTCTCTCTTCTCTTCTCTCGATGATCCTCTCTAGCTAATTCTTCATTCCTCCTCTTTCCTCTTTTTAGCCATTTTTTATTTATCTTCCCGTCCATTTTTTTTTTTTTTTTCATCATTTCCCTCTTTCCAATTTTCTCCGTATTTATTGTTCCATTTTCCTCTTTCTCTCTTCCCGCCTTTGGTTATTTTCCATCTGAAGAAGTTCCGTTCTGCTGACTCATTTGGTCGACAAGTGTTTGCAAAAGTTACATTTTGCATTTTTATGTCCTTAGCTGCTTTTTCTTTTTTTTTTTTTTTTTTCGAATTTCTTTTTGAAATGTGCAAAAGTCGCAGAAAATAGAAAATGGCTGACACCATTTGCCGTTATCCACTTTTTCATTTCTATTTTTGTCCTTAAGCCCCTTGAACATATATTCTCAAATCTTTCTTTCTTTTACCTCCTATCTCTGAAATACACATTCATAGCTATATCAGTACACCTATAGAAGCCTACTTCTGAGAAAAAGTGATATTTATATAACCAAATGCTTGCATATTTTCCTGCATTTGTATAGAGACAATATAAAATGTATTCTTCCCCTTAAAGACAAATTCATCTCTGAAAACGCTGATAAAGAAACACGCAAATTGGAATATAAGCTGAAAATTAGATTAAATCTTGTTTGAAAATCAGACAGCCCAGTAATCTCGCTTTCGTTTTTTATCAAGTTTTTTTCTTTCTCTCTATCACGAGATTGATGCAATCACTCCTCGGGGAATTTTCAACGGAATCTTTTTTTTTTTAATTCTATAATTAGCTTTTGTTTGCGACTGCTTTATTCATCACTTTTTCTTTAAAACGTTAACCATTTTTATCGATGTTTCGGTGAGAAAATTCAGAACTAACCGATCATCAACTGAACTCGTGTCTCTGAAATGTTTACATTATTTTCTAAAAAAAAAAAAAATATCTATAATTTAATCGACTCAAAACATAGCGGACATGTATAGGGAAACAGAGATATTATAATAGGTTATCAGTTATAGTGAAGTGTATGAATGTTGAAACAGATTAGTTTGATTTGGCCTTGTTAGTTAGATAGCCCACCATAAGAGAGGTATAAAACAAGAAAATGAAATTGTAAGGTGAAACAAAAAATTTATATACATATAAATCAATTAAGGTCTTTACAAATAAAATTAATGTATTTTGGTTGATACAAGGTCGTCATAATGTTCGTAGTAGTCCTTGCAAGAATGAGTTTATGTGTACGTAGGCAGGAACGTAAGTATGTATGAGCGTTATAGTAGGGTAGGAATGTCTTTGAAGTAATCGCTCAGCCTTAAAATGTTCCGTTCGTTTATCAAGTGTAAAAGAGGTGAGGGAGAAAGTTAGAGATAATAATAACGATCGCTTGACGTTTGTCAAAGGACGTGTTAATACGCTCGTCTCCTTCACTCTGGTGACAGGCGAACTTGCCCGTCTTTTATTTTGTTTGTGGGGCTTGAAAAGGTCATTTGGAAGTTCACTCCCGGATAGGATTCGGGCCTTTCCACTGGACGACGAACAAATTTTGTGTCGGCTCGCGAAAAGGTCCGTAAAAGAATTTGTTTCTGAGAATTGAAGATTATGTGAATGTTGTTTTTAAATGTTTCCTAGTTTTCTATTGGCCGAAAAACATTTCGCATCAAGGTGTGAAATTTCACGGGTTTTGTTTTGGATTCGCTTTTGCGTGTGTGTTAAGCAAAGTTTGTAAATTCGAGTCTTTTTAATTTCTAACAAAATCAATGAGTCAGTGCTTAGCATTTGAATTTTTGAATCTAGATCTTGTTTTGTTCACTACAAGATTACCGAAATAAGGCCAATTGAAAATTAAGGAAAGTTAATGAATGATTCTAAAATAAATACATATTCCACTGGGCAAACTGTTCTATTGCAGATATGATCTAGTCATTGCCATTTATAATGGCTACTGAGGAAAAACGAATGTCATTTCCTCTTCTCATTTATTTCTTACATTGTTTAATGACTGACACAGTCCTGGATAGATAGATAGATAGATAGATAGATAGATAGATAGATAGATAGATAGATAGATAGATAGATGCTGAAATATAGAGTAAACTTATATAAATAGATATACAAGGGGATTGAAAAAAGTAAAAAGATAGATAGATAGATATCAACAGAGTGAGATAGATAGATAGATAGATAGATAGATAGATAGATAGATAGATAGATAGATAGATAGATATGAAACAGCTATCATAGATAGATAGATGTGAATAGAATAGAATAAAATAAAATAGACAGATAGATAGATGTGAATAGAATTAGATAGATAGATAGATAGATAGATAGATAGATAGATAGATAGATAGATAGATAGAAATGAAACAGCTATCATAGATAGATGTGAATAGAATAGAATAGAATAGATAGATAGATAGATATATAGATAGATAGATAGATATGAAACAGCTATCATAGATAGATAGATGTGAATAGAATAGAATAAAATAAAATAGACAGATAGATAGATGTGAATAGAATTAGATAGATAGATAGATAGATAGATAGATAGATAGATAGATAGATAGATAGATAGATAGATAGATATGTATATGCTGAAATAGAAAGAGAGAGATTCAAATAAACTTATATAAATAGATATACAGGCTGATTGAGAAAAAAAAAGTAACTGCCCATTTTAAAATACTTTAAATTCATTTATTAACTAATTAATTTTTACAAGAAATAAATATGAGAGGGAAGCTTTTAGCATGGGATTTTATATGGGCACCAGATTCCGATACCAGCTTTACGAGCCGCCCAGGAATTGAGTCAACTGATTTCACCAGGGACTCTTGTGACATAGAAGATATAATTTCTTGTAATCGCCCTTCAAGTTCTTCTAAGGTCTTGCTTTGGTATAGTCGACTTGCTCCTTTAACCAATTCCATAGAAAAACGTCACAGAAGAAGAAGTATTTAAAGAAGAGGATACAAATGAAAATCTTTGGAAGTGCCATTTTTTTCCATTTCACTGAATCCGGCCATTAAAACACATAAGTCTTTCTTTCTTCCATTTTTTATTTATTTTATCCCACTAAAATTAAACAGCGTCACTGCATTTTTTTTTTTTTAATCTTTTTTCGTGATCAAAATGGAATAGTTTATCATTTACGAGGAAGGGCGTAACATAGACACTAAAGAACCAGAATAATTATAATGTGATCATATCTTTTATAAATAATATCTAATTATTTATCTAATATCTCTCGATCCGTCCATCTGTTTGTTTATCTACCTATCTATTTATCTATTTCAACCAGTTCCAAATCTCTTTTCCGACTCTCGTCGCTTGCGTTTGCGCGTATGTACGTGTGTGTGCGTGCGTGTGCGAGAAGCATGGCGAACAAGATTACCGTGGACATTATTAACCAACCAGTCTATTTCTTCTAAGTCTACAACCACAAGTCATAAAAGTAGAGAGGTATTTATGTTTACATCCAACAAAATCAATAAACATGGGTGGGTGAGACGCGTAGATAAAAGAAATAATAAACCCGAGAGAACGAACCCTTGATTCCCACCCTGCAGTCAAATAAACCACTGAGCAGCTCCTTTACTTTGCGAGCCAGGAGAAATAGAAAGGCGGGAAATACAAGATTGGTGGGAGGGGGGGCATCTGTCACCACCCTTAATTCGCCCCCACCCATCCCCAAACCTTTTTTTCTTGTCCCTAAATTGACACTCTTATACTGAAGATTGTTTTCAGAAATTGGGAGGTGGGTAGAGTAGGATTGTATGGCTTGAGATATAAAGTAACTGACACAAAGCCACAGTTCGCATAAGAATATAAAACTTCTCCAATATTGTCGCACTCCATTGACTACAGGCCTTTGTGTTCATTAACTTTGTATAGTGCGATATCTTTTGACCTGTTGACAACGAAGATGGATAGGATAGAGTTTCTAGGCTATAACTAGTCTTCACAAACTCGTTTTGGCTTGGGGGGGGAGCAGCGACATTTAGGTCCGGGACTAGAAATCATTATGTCGAAGTCAAGTCAGTAAAGGAACAATGGGAAGAGAGAAAGAAACGAAAAAGACAGACAGAGAGAAAGAAAGGGGTGGAAAGTGTGTGTGTGTGTGTGTGTGTGTGTGTGTGTGTGTGTGTGTGTGTGTGTGTGTGTGGAGAGAAGGGCCGGCGAGAAAGAGATGAGATGGTGGGGCCGAAAAAGAGAAAAAAAATCTGGGATGCACTTTCCAGTCATGAGTTAAGGCGAGGTGTCTCGCGGTGTCTGGCCCCATCACGAATTACTGTTGCCGCAAACAGAAAAAAAAGAAAAAAAAATCCCTTTTTCTTGAAAGAAATTTATTACTCGTCAAACTTGACAAAATCCATAGAGTAATTTCCTAAATAGAAGACGTTCTGGGTTATAAAACGACCCACAAAGTTTGCTTTCATTTTGCTATCTTTTTCCTTATTCCTATGCTTAATACACAGTCTATCTTTTTTTTTTTGTTTTGCCCTTCAAAACGTTTTTCATCTGATACAAACCCGTAAATCTATCTAAACTTTTTATCTAAAAAAAGAAAGAAAAGAAAAAAAGACTGCAAACTTTATAGCTTGGCTTAATGGTTAGAGCAGCGGGCTTATATTTTCCACTCTCCATACAAACAAAATGACAATAAATCATAATCTTATGTAAATATTTACTAACTTTATTTTTTTCTCCGACAGATGATAATAATATCTGAATCCCCAATGAGAATCAAACTTACTCAATGGTTGAGAATACTAGCTTTCAAAAAAACATGAAACAATAAAAAGATACTTATTAAACTTAGTCTGCCACAAGGCACCAATAATAGCACGCCCACTAAGGATCGAACTCACTACACAAGTGGGTAGTCAATGCGACCAAAGTTAAGAACAGTTTAACACTTTCACTGCTGCATTGCTATAGTATTGTTCACTGGCTGTACTGGATCCCTTTTGGGAAGACATTTTCGATCGGTGACACACGGCAGCACAGATCCAGCTAAA